TGAGTTGCATGGCCGTTAGTCGAACTTATCCTTCCGTCGTTGATACTTTAACCAGGAGCACCATACATGACCAAGAGTCGTTGGAGATAAGGATCGATCACCATGTGACACTTCTGGAAGAACTCTTGCCGGAGAATTATGTTAAAGAGGTCTAAAAGAGCGACAATGAAGTTTGTTTTACCTTACCACTCACCAAGCGTGATGCTTACTCCATGCACGACTCTGCATACGGGAGTCACTGTCGCATTGATCGTCCTGATATGGGCGGTACTTGGACTGTAACTTAACCCCAATCTTGTTTCTGCCATTTTGGTCATGATGTTAGCATCTGCACCCGTGTCGACCATAACACGAGCAGGTCTTCCATAAATCGTGATATTGACATATTGTGCAACGCATTCTCTCGGCTTCCCTGGCTGCTTCGTGATGGCTTCGCATAGTCCTATCAATTCCAATTGTGTCGTCTCTGCACCTTGTCTTTACTCATATGCATCCTTTTCCTTCCGCTCTCACGGGATAACACCAAGGTTCTTTAGTTCAGGGCACCTTGGATAGCCATGTGGCCCACTGCATATGTAGCAACCATTTCTTTTGGAAGTTTCTGCCTTCTTTTCCATGACGTCCAGACTTCTTGCCATTGGACCTATAGGTATCATGATTCTTGGGATGTGGTCGTTGCTCTTTGATTTTTTTCATGATCTCCCCCACCTTGGTCATGACTACCTCTCATCTCATCTCCTCTAACTCTATCAGGCTTTTCATGCCTGAAGTTTGTCAAAGCATCAGCCTGCATGATGGCTTCATCGATAGTCCTCACCTGTCGGCATTTCAATTTTCTCCTTGCCCAATTTTACTCCCCATTCGTGAAGTGGAACAACATATCTTCATCCGTGAGGTTGAGAATCTGAAGCGTGAGTGTGGTGAACTCCTTACGTATGTGCGTATGCTGCCTGTCTGCTTCAGCTCCCTAAACTTGCGCTTCACCTCATAGATGACGTTGTTAGGGAAGAAAGTCTTCTTGAACTCTACTCGGAATTGCTCCCAAGTGTTGATTATGCAAAGTCCCTTCTGTATTTCTAACTCTTTACGCCTCCACCAAAGTATAGCCATCTCCGAAAGATACAACATGACGGTGTTGATCTTGTTTTCGTCGCTCTTCACTTGGATCTTGAAATAATTCTCCAAGTGCCATAGGAAATTCTCCACCTCTTGTGCATCACTGACGTCTTTGAACATAGGTGGCTTAGGAGCCTCGAACTTGGCCTCCCTATATCGATTGAACGACGATGATCCTCCAACTTTCACGCCCTCCTTGAATGCTTTCATCTCGATACCTCCATGGTCTTAATCGTGTTTAACGCCTCCATGAGCCGACACTCCAAAGAAATGATGACCTCCTTCATCTCAAACTCGGCACGCTGGCGGCCCTCCAACTCTTTACGAATGTTGTCATTCTCCTCAAGGGTGAAGTCCTCCAGAGTCTTGAACTTGCCATCGACCTCGTTCAAGTGCCTGCCTAATATCTCTACGGCCTGCCTCGTCATTTCAACCCTTGCGATTCACTCCTCTTCGAATGTGACGTCAATGGGCTCCTCATCACGGTAATCGTCACTTGCTTCGGCGGTTGAAGATGGGTGAGATGTTAGCGCCTCGCTTGATATAGGGTCGAGCAACATTTCCTCTCTATCCAGCATGACGTTGGTGGTGCTAGCAGCATTTACCACTACTAAAAAATTGTCAAAAGTGACGGATTGCGTCGCTTTTTTGGTCAAAAGCGACGCAATCAATCTCGTCGCTTTTTTTATTTTTAAAAAAGAGACGAAGTCCGTCGCTTTAATTAATTTTTAATTTTTTAGAATCTTGAAAAGCAACGGACAATGAGACGCCGTCCGACACTTTTTTGGAAATAAAAATTAAAAAAATCCAGAAAAGCGACGAACTAAAGGACCCTGTCCGTCGCTTTTCTGGGCTTTAAAAAAAATAAAATTCAGAAAAGCGACGGACAAAACCAACATGTCCGTCGCTTTTTTTGCAATTTTTTTGACAGCAGAAACTGCCAGCCTGCAAAAGCAATTCAATTCAGTCCAATCAAACATAAAACATTATAAAGAAGCTACACAAAATATAAAACAACAAACTTAAATTAACATTCAAAAATATATGAATCACAATTTAAAGACTTATAAAGTCTTTTCAAAATTCGTTTTCAAAATTACAAATAGTTCATAAAGACTATATTTTATCAAGATTTCTAAAGTTCAACCTAATAATTAGTTCATAAATTCTATGAATCAAGATTTTCTAAAGTTCACAACCTAAAGTTTAAAATCCCACAATAATTCAAGATTTCTAAAGTTCACAACCTAAAGTTCTAAAATCCTAAAATAATTCAAGATTTCTAAGTTTATAACCTAAAGTTCTAAAAATCCCACAATATTTCAAGTTCTCTAAAGTTCACAACTTGAAGTTCTAAAATCTTACAAAAATTCAAGTCTTCTAAAATTCATAACTTAAAGTTCTAAAATTCTACAGTAATTCAAAATTTCTAATGTTTTACAACCTAAAGTTCTAAAATCCTACAAAAATTCAAGTTCTCTAAAAGCTCACAACTTAAAGTTCTAAAATCCTACAATAATTCAAGATTTCTAACGTTCATAATCTTAAAAAGTTCTAAAATCCTACAAAAATTCAAGTTCTCTAAAAGCTCACAACTTAAAGTTCTAAAATCCTACAATAATTCAAGATTTCTAAAGTTCACAACCTAAAGTTTAAAATCCCACAATAATTCAAGATTTCTAAAGTTCACAACCTAAAGTTCTAAAATCCTAAAAGTAATTCAAGATTTCTAAGTTATAACCTAAAGTTCTAAAATCCCACAATATTTCAAGTTCTCTAAAGTTCACAACTTGAAGTTCTAAAATCTTACAAAATTCAAGTCTTCTAAAATTCATAACTTAAAGTTCTAAAATTCTACAGTAATTCAAAATTTCTAATGTTTTACACCTAAAGTTCTAAAATCCTACAAAAAATTCAAGTTCTCTAAAGCTCACAACTTAAAGTTCTAAAATCCTACAATAATTCAAGATTTCTAACGTTCATAATCTTAAAAAGTTCTAAAATCCTACAAAAATTCAAGTTCTCTAAAAGCTCACAACTTAAAGTTCTAAAATCCTACAATAATTCAAGATTTCTAAAGTTCACAACTTAATTAAAGTTCTAAAATCTTACAAAAATTCAAGTTCATATCTAACTTCTAGAATTTCTAAGTTCAAGAATTTCCAATTTCAAGAATTTCTAAGTTCAAGAATATAATTCAAGTAACCCAATTTTCAACAACAATATTTTTATATATTAGAAGAGAGAGTTTCAACATGTCAGCTTGGTGACATTAGCTGAAAGATTAAGGATATAATGGTATTTTGAAAGACCAGTTTGTTAAGAGATTGTATTTTCAGCTTAAATTTTTAGACCACATCAACAACTACATAGAAGGCCCATCGTCTTTTGCTAAATTACATATGATGCCATTCAAATGAACTATCATTGAATATGGTGGGACCCATAGAACTACACACGTAACGTAACTACATAAGACATGTGGACTTGTGGCCAGTCTGTGCTCCCTCAACTTTTGCCATAGAATACTTTTGAGCCATTTTATTTATGAAATGTCCATGAAATTCGAATTGGTCCTAAATAAAAAAAATTCAAGAATGAAATATTATTAATTCAGATTGAAAATAGTATATATATATATTTATTGAGGGGTTATATTATATTAAGGAAATTACTAATATTAAAGATTAACTAATGGTCTTATATGATTTATAATATGTTAATTACAAATATTACATAGTAGAAATAATAATAAAATAATCAAAATTAAAATAGAGAGTATGGATAGTAATTCTCCAAACTTCTCTATAGATGAAGAATAGAGAGTAAATTAGAGAATGATTGGAGAGCGAATTCTCTATTTTACTCTCCAAATATAGAGAATAGAGAGTAAAATAAAAATGGATCGGAGATAGTTTTATAGGTTTTTTGATTGATAAATATGATATTTAAAATCAAATTATGATTAAATATAAATAATAACAATGAAAAAGGTAATAGACTCCTTACATTTCGGAGAGAATTTCTCATGATTGAAAAACATCTTCCTCTACTATATTATATTTTTAGATGAAAAAAAAAAAGAAGAAAAAAATACAACATTATACTTTTAGATAATTGAGATTTAAAAATTTAATTTGAATAACAATAATATATAGAATTTATAAAAATAAATTATGCAAAATTTTATCTTAATATTTTGTATTTAAATTTTTATAATGTTGGGCCCGTGTCAGGCCATTTTTTTCTAGTAATACATATAAGCACAAATACAATGGCAAATTGAAAAATTCAACTAATCTCTAACTTCTAGCTTCTAATTATTTGTTAGTTCTAACTTCTAATACTTAATTTACAATCATATTTTAAAATCCCCTAATTTTTCTAACTTCAACTTTCAAACTTACTAAATTCAAGTACTTCTAAGTTGGAAAATTCAACTAATCTAATTTCAACTTTCATATACTATCCATTATTTTTCTAACTTCAAAGTAATCTAACTTTGATATACAATTGAATGTTTTTCTAACTTCAACCGTCAAACATACTAAATTCAAGAATTTCAAGTTGGAAAATGCAACTAATCTAACTTCTAACTTTTTAACTTCTAACTTCTAATTATTTGTTAGTTCTATCTTCTAATACTCAATTCACAATCATATTTAAAATAAACCCCAAATTAGAAGAAAACCCTAAAATAAAAAATCCCCAATTCTCTACCTAACTAACAATAATCAAATATACAAATTAACAATTGAATAGAACAATTCATCAAACTAAAACAATGTACTAATTTATAACAAATCAAATATTACTAGAATTAAAAAAAAAACTAAAATTAAACTGTAACCTTAACAAGCTAAGAAAAAGAGGCAGTGGGGACGATGGGTGGGCCGACGGGACAAGGCAGCTGCGGGACTAATGCTCAAGGAGAGAAGGGCGATGGCGGCGTGGGGTGGCGTGGGGCAGCGGCGGCGTTTGGTTTTAGAGAGAAGGGAGAGAAAGAGAGATGGGAAAATAGGGGGGGAAACCCGCTTTTGGTTCAACATAATTTAAAAAAAGCGATGGACAATGTCTCTTTGTCCGTCGCTTTTTTAAAAAGCGACAAACTAAGAGATGCCGTCCGTCGCTTTTTAAAAATATTTGACTAGATATTTTGACCAAAAAGCGACGGACTAAGAGATGTCGTCCGTCGCTTTTTTAAAATGTTTGACTAGATCTTTTGACCAAAAAGCGACGGACTAAGAGATCCCGTCCATCGCTTTTTAAAAAAAAACTAATTAATAAAATAAAATAAATTTAAAACGACGGACAACGTGGTTATTGTTTAATTTATAAATAATTATTTTTATTAAAAAGCAACGGACGGCGTCTCTATATATATTAAAGAAATAATTATTAATTATATATATATTTAGCGCAAAAATCCGCGAAAAAAGTGACGGACTAAGAGATGCCGTCCGTCGCTTTTTGTAAAATAAATTTAAAAATAATTACTTTTATTAAAAAGCGACGGACAGTGTGGCAAATGGCGTCGCTTTTTGGAGCGACGCAATCCGTCGCTTTTTTGTCAGTCGTTTTTTGGTAGTTTGTTAGTAGTGTACGTCTCTTTCGTTAGTCATTTCCTTAGTGCCAAATATTTGCTTTGATACCACATTGTCACGGACTTAGAGTCTCACTAAAATTTCGTGCGGCATTTGACAACTTACTCATTAATCTTTCAAGATCTTTTAAGCTCAAGTAAGCCCTTTGAAACTAAGGTCGCTAAGAGAATGAAAAAAAAAGACAAGAGAGCTTTGAAAGAAGGCTTTGTATTGCTTACAACTGATTGAATGATTTACAAATGAGAGCACCTCTATTTATATTACTTTCTAGGGGGTAAGTGTAAATAAAAATTGCTACAGAAGTCCTTACTTATTTACAATCTAGTCCCTCTTCTAGAATTCTCTGCTAGTCTAGAGAATTCTAAAGTTTTTAAAGATATTTTCCAAGGCATTCTAGAGTCTTCTAAGGAAAGATCTAGGGAATTCTAGAGTCTTCCACTAATCTCTCCATAACTCTAGATTTTTCCTCCTTATTTTTATGTCAAATTTGAATGGCAAAGTGGTGGGTCATGACAAAAGGGTGTCATGAATGCTTTCAGAATTTTTTGTCATATGAAGAGCCTTGACGGGTGAGTCTTGTGTTATGCTCTTTATGTTATCCAATTTGTATTTTAAAGCAATACTACTGATAACAAAACTTTGTAGAAATAATAAATTCTAAAGTTTAAATCACGTAGTGAAAACAAAAATCAATTAACAGAAAATTAATTGTAACACGCCAGAAAATTTTGAGCTAAGACTCGAACCATCCTTCGTTATGAGTAGGATTTTATCAAGGAATTTAAAATTTTTCTTAAGTAGTAATGTCAGGTCACTAGATGTAGTACCTTGAGTTCCAAAAAGAAGTGTTGATAATTACATATTTTTGAGTTTGTCAGAAGAGTCCACCGACTATTTTGGTCTTACATTAGTTTTGATATCTTTTTGGAATATGAACAAAGAAGAGAAGATAGGCTCATTACATTCATAAAAAAAGATATGAGAATTTACCTTAAGTAATTTAGCGATTTAGCGTGAGAGTCAAATAAATCGAAAGATTCATGTTTGGTTCGGGAAGGGATTATGGAATTTTGGAATGAAATGGAAAAATAGTCTACTTTCATTAAGTGATTTAGGAAATATCTTTGAATTACTTCCAACTCCACCGAGTTTGCTCAGTTTCGAATTGGTATGAGGGAGATATGTCCATTCGAAGTTGAGTTGTCTAGACAATGAAAGTCAAAACTGGATTTTAGAAGGGTATTATGGTCTTTTCACTAGCCAATTAATTAGATTCATTTTTGGTAATTAAGTTGGGGACAAAACTGATTGGATTCAGTTTACGCTTCATAAAAATAAGTTAGGGTTTTGAGAGAAGAGAAAAGAAGAAGAGAAAAGAGAAGAGGAGCAAGCGTTCATCAAGATCCTTGCATTTTGTTGCGGATTTTTGCCATGGGCTTGATCCCTAAGAGGTATGTAAGCTTCAATAGCATTGGGTTCATTCACCCACACACCAAACATGTTTATTTCAATATGATTTTCGTCCTAAAAGATTGAGACTTTGATGTTCTTGAGTTGTATTCTTGAATTGGGCTGAGATTGAGGAGTTCTTGAAAGTTTAAGGTCGATTGTTAGAATTGTTTTGAGTTAGAATCTTGTGTACATGTGCTGGATATCTGAATCTAAAGAGGAATTGAGAAAAAGAACCAAGTTTAGGCGAATTGGGGTGAGAAATTATTCCCCTCTAGAATCCGAGGTTTGAATTGGAATATATCCTTCAAGGATAGAACGATTCTATTCACCAGTGTATTGATACCCAAAACAATGGTGTCAGCGAGCTACTCAACAGAAGTAAAGTACACTATTAAATAATATGGTGGTTTAAAATTAGAATTGGTTGAGTCGGTTAAGTAGTCACGTGAAAGTTGTTATACCCACTTGTAGAGTACAAAGTTAGTTACAATAATTGTGATGTATAGATAGTTGTAACTTGGATCTGGTTCATAGATGAAAACACTCTTTATTCTTCTTCTTACTCAAAATGCTCTCTATGATGTAGTCAATAAACTATTAATATGGTTTAACATGGTATCAGAGCCCAGATCGTGAAGGATCGATCTGCGTAGAAGAAAATAAGAACAAGTGAAGGAAAAGCTACTAAAAGAGGCATCAATGCCGACAGATGAAGCAACATCAATGGCAGAAAATAAAGTCACATCTCTGAATCACAACATCCACTTTATCTTCAAGCATCTGATGCACCTTGAGTGATCTTAGTCCCAATCAAGCTAACAGGACCAGAGAATTATGCCTTGTGGAGTCGCTCGATGAAATTGGCTCTTAGAGGAAAAGGAAAACTTGGATTCATTGATGAATCGTGTAGGAAGACAGCTTTCAAAGGAGCACTGGAAGAACAATGGGAAAAATGTAATGCAATCGTGTTATCACGGATTGCGAGTACTGTTACAAGTGAATTACTGCTAAGGATCATATATGCTTCAAACGCGAAAAAAGTTTGGGAAGACTTTGAGGAAAGGTTTGATAGATCAGATCTAACGCAAATTTATCATTTGTGGTCTGAAATTACTCTGTAACTTCATACTACTCGAAGCTCAGGGATTTGTGGTCTGAATTGGATGTGATGATCCCATCACCAGGTTGCAATTGTGAGGATTCAACAGCCTATGTGGGACATTTAAGATCACAAAGACTTCTACAATTTTTAATGGGATTGAATGAGAGTTTTAGCAGTATTAGAAGTAACATTTTGGCTAAGAAGCCAGTAATAACTGTGAATGAGGCATATGCAGTAGCAGCACAAGAAGAAAGTCAAAGAGCATTGGGAGTTTCAGAGAGAACAAGAGATCCTTTAACTCTCTTAGCAAAAAGCTCAGGAATACACTCCGAGGCCAAAGAAGTTCGTGCCTCCTAGTACAATATGTGGTCATTGTGGATTTAAAGGCCACTATAAGATTGATTGCTACAAATTGGTAGGATATTCACCAGGATTTCAAAGTAAAAGAAAAGGAACTGATGGTTACAAGAATGACTACAAAGCAGCTGAAGGTTTTAGGCCTGACTTCAAACCAAATGCACACTTCACAAGGAATGTTGATGACTTCAATGGTAGAGGAAAGCAAGCTGAAGGTGCACATTTCACAAGGAATGCTGATGATTTCTATGATAGAGGAAAGCAAGCTGAAGGTCACATGACACCACCTCAATACCAAGATCTGGTAAACAAGATGGATAGAGCAGGAACATCAGATTGTGTTGCTAATATGTCAGGTATGGCTTCTTTAAACTCAAAACCAAGTAGAGTTTATGAATGGATAATTGATAGTGGAGCTACACACCACATCACACCTAATGAAGAGTTGATGACTGCTATTAGAAGAATACAAGGAAATAACAGTGATGGAGTACAAGTTCCAACAGGAAGTAGATGTGATATCAAAGAAATTGGTACTGCATAGGTTCTAGAGGATCGTGAACTTAGAAATGTCTTGCATGTGCCAGACTTCAAATTTAGTTTGTTGTCAGTGTCGAAGTTAACCAGGGAACTATCTTGTACAGTGTGTTTTTTCTCTGATTTTTGTGTCTTTCAGGGACTCTATGATGGCAAGGTGTTGAGGATTGATAAAGAGAGGGAAGGATTGTACATTTTGAAAAAACAAATAAAGTCACCAGTGCAGGCTATGGCTACTGCAAATTTGAGTGGAGATGCAACATTATGGCATTTGAGATTAGGACATGCGTCAACTGGTATTTTACAGCATATTCAATCACTGAAGCATTTATCAAACAAGAATATACAACATGAATGTGAGATTTGTCCTCTAGCAAAACAATATAGATTACAGTTTCCTGTTAGTGAAAGCAGAACATTCAAAGCATTTGAAATAATTCATGTAGATGTTTGGGGGCCATAAAAGAAGCCTACTTTTGATAAAAAGCACTATTTTGTTACTATTGTTGATGACTATAGTGGATACACCTGGTTATGCCTCATTCACTCTAAAAGTGAGGTTATTGTAGTGCTCAAAGATTTCATTGCCTTAATAAAAAATCAGTTTGGTTTGTCTGTGAAAACCTTGCGATCTGATAATGGTACTAAGTTTTTCAACTCTTTTGTAAATGATTTGCTTGCTTCTCAAGGCATTATACATCAGAGTAGTTGTGCATACATCCCTCAACAAAATGGCAAAGTAGAGAGGAAACACAGACACATCTTGGAGATGGCAAGGGCTTTGAGATTTCAAAGTTGTCTCCCAATTCATTTATGGGGTGAGTGTGTTAGGACAGCTGTGTATTTGATTAATAAGATACCTACTGAAGTGCTTGGAGGTAGATCACCTTATGAGATGTTATTGAAAAAGGTTCCTCGACTTGATCATTTAAGAATTTTTGGGTGCTTATGTTATGCAGCTCAATTGCCAAGAGGGGATAAGTTTGCTCCTAGAGCCAGAAAGACAATCTTTCTTGGTTATTCTGAAACTCAAAAGGGTTATGGGTTATTTGATTTAGTTGATAATGTTTTCTTTGTGAGTAGAGATGTAACTTTCAGAGAATCCACATTCCCTTACCAAACTGAACCTGCTGAACCTACTTCTACTGATCTTAACATGTTTGAACTACAAAATTCAGATTATCTTTCCCCCCGACTCATTAATTCTTCTGATCATCCTACTGAATACAACACTACTCCTATTCCTGATCTTATTCTTGAGACCAGTCCTGCTTCTATTCCTGAAGATATTCCCACAACTGATGTCTTACCTTCATTACAACCTACAGAAAAATTTCTCCCAATTACAGATCAGTCTAAGTCCAGACCTTCTAGAACTATTAAACCTCCTAGATGGTTAAATAATTTCATCACTACTTCTAAAGCTAAGCCACCATCTGCCAGTTGTTCCTATCCTATTTCTGATTCCTTCCAATACTCACATTTGTCCCCTCTTTACCAAGCATACTTGGGTTCCTTCTCCCCTCAAGTTGAACCAAAAACCTTTAGAGAAGCATCTCAAGATTCTAAATGGATTGCAGCTATGACTGATGAACTTTGTGCCTTGGACAGTAATCACACTTGGGAGGTGGTTGACTTACCACCAGGCAAACAAGCTATTGGCTCTAAATGGGTGTTTAAAATAAAGCATAAGGCTAATGGGACTGTTGATAAATACAAGGCAAGATTGGTTGCTAAAGGATATACACAAAAGGAGGGGTTAGATTATCATGAAACATTCTCCCTTGTTGCTAAGATGATAACAGTGAGAACTATAATCAGTGTTGCAGCATCTAAGGACTGGCTTTTGATTCAAATGGATGTTAATAATGCATTCCTTCAAGGTGATTTACATGAAGAGGTTTACATGTCGTTACCTCAAGGTTTCCACAGACAGGGGGAGACTAGAGTGTGTAAGCTGTTGAAATCTTTGTATGGGCTGAAACAGACTTCTAGACAATGGAATATCAAATTATCTACTGCCTTGTTGGAAACAGGATACATTCAGAGTTCACATGACTATTCCTTATTCACTAAACAGTATGGTAATGACATAGTTGTAATTCTAGTTTATGTTGATGATTTAATGATCATAGGAAACAACCAACAACTGATAGATGATGCTCAGAGACACTGCATAGCAAGTTCAAAGTGAAAGACTTGGGGCAGCTCAGGTATTTTTTAGGGATTGAAGTATTGAGGTCAGAAAAAGGGATTCTACTTAACCAAAGAAAGTATATTTTGGAATTACTCTTCACAGTAGGAATAACAGGAGCTAAGCCAACTTCCACTCCCATGGAAATGAATGTAAAGCTTACTACACTGGAGTATGACTCAGTAGTTGGAGGTGTTGAAGATCATGTGTTAAGTGATGTTCACAGTTATCAACAATTAGTTGGGAAACTAATCTATGTGACCATCACCAGGCCTGATATGTGTTTTGCAGTCCAAGTCCTCAGTCAACTCATGCAACATCCCAAGAAGTCATATTGGGATGCAACATTGAGAGTTCTCAGATATCTCAAACAAGCACCTAGGCAAGGGGTGTTATTCACAAGAGGACCTATCACAAGCTTGACAGCATACTGTGACTCAGATTGGGCAGGTTGCCCTAACACCAGGAGGTCAGTGACAGGGTATGTAATTCAACTTAGAGATTCTTTAATTTCATGGAAGTCAAAGAAGCAACATACTATCAGTAGAAGCTCAGCAGAGGCTGAATACAGGAGCATAGCAGGCATAGTAGCAGAAATTATTTGGCTAACTAGATTATTAAAGGACCTAAGGGTAGACATTACTACTCCAGTCAAACTCTGTTGTGATAGCAAGACAGCTATGCAGATTGCTATCAATCCAATCTTTCATGAGAGGACTAAACATATCGAGATTGATTGTCATTTTATAAGAGAGAAGATCAAAGATGGCTTGATCAAGCCTGAATATGTGGGGACCAAATCTCAGCTAGCAGATTTACTTACAAAAGGTCTAGGGATTGTACAACATCAATTTCTTCTTTCCAAGCTAGGAGTCCTTGATGTCTTCCATCCTAGCTTGAGGGGGAGTATTAAATAATACGGTGGTTTATAATTAGAATTGGTTGAGTCGGTTAAGTAGTCACGTGAAAGTTGTTATGCCCACTTGTAGAGTACAAAGTTAGTTACAATAATTGTGAAGTATAAATAGCTGTAACTTGGATCTGGTTCATATATGAAAACACTTTTTCTTCTTCTTCTTACTCAAAATGCTCTCTATGCTGTAGTCAATAAACCATTAATATGGTTTAACATACACGAATATGAATTTGTGCAGAAGAAGAAGTTCATAAATTTTGTCAGTAAAAAATCTGAGGAATCAAGGGTATTTATAGCCAAGAAGCATTGGTTCCGACAGGTTGCAACTTTCTGAAACAACCATGACTGTTCGAAAGGTTGCAAATTTTCATGAATGGTCGTGTGGTTTCTGAAAGGTTATGCTTCATCCTGAGTCCTGACTTAGTTACTACTCAGAGATTCGAAACATTCTTCTTGTGAGATGACCATTTTAGTACATACTCTAGTTTCAATTTAACTAATTGTGTATGGTTGTGCTTTCCATATAATTTTTCTGTATATAATTCTTATTCTGAATTAATGACCTAAAACAAATCAAGTGAATCTTCATTAACTTGACTAGATCATGTAAAATAGGGTGGAGGTCGTATTAGATTTACTTTGCATGGTGTATATTCTAGTTGTGTGCAGAAATATGCTTATAGACTTATAGGACATTGATCTTTTTGGACATAATCTGCAGCTGATTTAGGGTTCTACAATAGCACTAAAGGTAGAATTTCTATCATATCTTAGGTGTTAATAACATGAAAAATAAAGTAGGGATTTGCTGCTGCAGAGGAGTTTCAAGATTTTTCATGAGCTGCTTGACTACTAGGTTTCAAGAGAATTGTTGGAAGGTCTAAAGAATTTCATGTGAATAAATTTTATCCGCTATCTATCGTATGTTCGACCTGTTATTTTCTTACTTTATAAACTCAATATTACTCACAATTTTGATGTGGAAAGTGAGTGTTTAAGTCATTATTAGGCATTTGTTGAATTTGAGATGATAACCAACCTTGATGTTTTTTGTTATTTGACTGTCCTTTGTGAATACTTCAAAGCTAAATCTTTGAATTCTAATGACTTCTTTTTCCAAGAACATGATATTGTAATTCTTCTGAGTGAGTCATGTAGTTTTTTTTTTCTTTTTTGAATGAGGTTAATTCACCATATGTGATGGTTTTGGGCATGGAATGATAACTTCCTATTGAAGTATAATGGAAAAAGTGTGCCTTTTATTCATATGAGATTTTAATTAATTATTTCTAAATTTCGAGGTACGTGTAATCTTGTCCTGAAATCATGATATGAAGTTTAAGTTTTTTGGATGTTCAAATTCTAGTTGTCCTTTTATTTTACATAACACAAGTTTCATCTTTATAATACCATGACAACAATTTAAAAAGTCTGGTTGACATGGTTTCAAATCATTATCATGATTTAAATTTGAAATTTTATTTGAAAAATCTACAATTTGTGTTCTTTTCAATCAAATACATATGCAGTAGTTGAACTACTTAATAATTTTGTCATAGGTCAGTCCCAGCTTTACTATGACTTTTTTTTATCTGTTTGAATCTTCAAATTCAAAAGGTGTCACATAAATTGAAACAGAAGAAATTTATGTAAACACCAACTGCTTCTCTAGGCATGTCCCTCAACAATGACAGTGTTAAAAGAACCATTGTACCATTATGGCTAAAGATATATATATTAGATATAGCTGACTTGCATGCATTAACAACTCCAACTCTTCATTATGATTAGAAAGCGATAAGGTAAAATTCACATATGGTCACATAACTATCATTTATTTTCATAAAAATCATTTAACTATTTTTTCTAACACAAAAATCACTAAAACTTTGAGATACTATTAAGTCTAAAAAGTTACCAAGCCGGAAAATGCTAAACTTTCCGATGCTGACTCTTTTTTTAAAATTAATTACTATATATATGCGTTTTATATATTTTAAAGACATTATTCTTTTTTTTTTCACAACCTTAAAGTTGAAAGTGAGAAATGTTTACCATTCGAGCAACTCTCTCTTGTCTTAAACACACGATTCTATTAATGGTGAGAGAGACCTAAAAGACCAAAAGGATAGAACCATACATAGTTTAATTGTGGCTAAATATGTTTTTTAAGTGACAGTTAGCACTCTTTGTAAATGTCTCTAAAGCCTATAACAACACTGGATCCAATGACAATGAACTTCAGTATTCTTTGTTTTGTTAATATACATATTTATTACTGCTAAAAGTTGTTTTTGTTGTAGTGGATCCGGACTTGACAATATTTGTAAAAGAAGTGATCAGCCATGTGCATATTGCTTAATTCCATGTATGTAGTAAATTAAGTAGAGAAAAAGGAGGGTTGGGTACTGACTACATTGGGAAATATTGGCCAAATTTTGAGTAAATGAGAGTTATAATTAAGCATCACTAATAGTTGTATGAAAAAGACATGATACCTAAGTTTTATAAATATTGAGACATTCCCATTTTCCCTTCTTTTTCACTCTTTTCTTGGTACAAATAGCTAGTCTGTACTCTGTACAAATGTAGGTTCACTCATTATCCTATCTCAAATTGTAAAATAACTTAATGGTTCATGCATACTCTTAATTAATTATATACTGCAAATTATTAAAGGATGATGATGATATAATTAATGATGCCCTTGGTTGTTGGGGTGGTGCCCATCTACAAATGCATTTACTCATTCAATTATGGTCCTAATTATAATGCTACATGTACAAATTAGTATTAATCATACAAAACAAATACTATTCTCTCCGTTCATCATTACTTGTCCACTATACTATTTTAGAATGTTCAACAATATTTGTTCAGTTTAATTTATAGAATCAATGAATAATTTATCATATTATGTCTTTTTTACCCTTGCTATTACATACTATTCATTTTTCAATGTTTAGATGACTTATATTTAATAAGGATGATTTAGTAAAATTACTCTTATTATTTACTGCTTTTTAATTCTTATGTTAAGTCAATAGTAAACAACTATTCTTGGACAGAAGGGGTAGTATATATAAAGATGTATATGTTCATCTAATGGATACGAGTGTACTTACTGTCTTTGACTTGAACTATTTTTACTTATGTACGATCAATCGAATTTTAATTAATATATACCTTAAATATCTTAATCGTAGCATGCACCAATAATCGTCATAAAGTAATTGTGAATATGAGTGTTACTTGTACTTATGATATAGTAAAGGAAAAAGAATTCATGAAGAGTTGAATATAATAATATATATATATATATATATATATATATATATATATATATAGAGAGAGAGAGAGAGAGAGTGTAGTTGTGCTTATAGAAAGTTACCATCATCTTCCTTTTTCTGTTGTGCACAATTGTTGAGCATACCAAAATAAAAATGTATATCTTCAGTGAAGTATATATACATTAAGATATATATGAGTATTTACTGACAAGTGTCGTGTTGGAGTGGTAAATAATTCTTAATCTTTAACTAGAAGTCTCGAATTTGTATCCCTTTAAATACGGAGTGATCTTTATTAGGGAACGCTTTTACCCCAAAATATTTTGTTTATCAAACATTTTTTTAATGTAATTTTTGCTTCTGGATCTTCTCTTTTGCCTCAGTGGTGTTAGATGATGATATTAATATTCATGGTATATTGTCTTATAATACAAGCTATACGTAAATAAATAAAGTCGAGTTGTATCTAGTAGTCATGAACAAACTCCCTACTAATTAGCCAACTACTTTCACCAACTGTCTTTTCATAGGAGATCTTTAAAAAAATATTATTCATGCCCCACCTCTATAACTTTAATTTTCAAATTAAATAAGTATGTCATGTCTCCCAAAGGCGCTATAGGTCATGATAATTATTTACTCGCATAAACTTTTTATGTCAAATCAATAAATGAAAAACATATATATAGTATCAATTGAATTACCTGGAATCATTGAGATGAGAAAGATCACAATAACGATTGAATTACAATATATAAGGGGGTTACTATGCTAACCTAGCTTACAAGGCAATA